GAGCCCACTTAAATTTCTAAAAGGAAGAAGTTGATGTAAAATTTGACGTGCTAGGAGAACTTCTTCCAGATCTAGATGCAGAGGAACAGGATGAAGGAAGGTTTTTTCAAGTTACTGATCATGACGTTGATAAACGCATTGAAGGAGAGCRAAACAAAAATGCTAAGCGAAAGACGTACTACGACCTAAAACTTGTTAAGAAATTCATGCAAGAAGTCAAAAAGAGGAGAGAGAAATCGAAGATATTCCTCCAAATGAGCTGAATGGTCTTTTAAGCCAATTTATAGTGGCAGCGAGAACAAAAACAGGACAAAATTACGAGCCATCCTCACTTCGCGGTATCTTATCGAGCGTTGAACGTAACTTGAGCCAGGCCAACTACGGTAAATCCATCTTCAAGGACTATGAATTYCAAAAAACWRRAGAKGCATTGAAAGCTAAACAAAAGGAAYYAAAAAGACAAGGTCRWGRAAACAGACCGCAYGCAACATCAGCTCTTTCGGATGAAGAAATTGAAGTTTTGTAGTCTAAAGCATTGCTCGGAACGAGCTCCCGTCAAGCGCTTCATTGAACACAGTGTGGTTCAACAACATGGTTCATTTTGGCTTGAGAGGAGGAGTCGAACAAAGAGCATTATGCTGGGGAGACATTACTTTAAAAGCTGAGGTCGGAGGGCAAGAGTATTTTGAGTATTCTGAGCGCCAAACGAAAACAAGAACGGGTGTAAATCCACGGGACCAACGATAAGTGAAGCCAAGAATGTACGCCAATCCTGCCATACTAGAACGTGACCCCGTGCACGCTTACAAGATTTACAAAGGAAAACGTCCTGAAACGATGCTAAATCCTGAATCTAGCTTCTATTTATCTATAAATGTCTTCAAAACAGAAGCCGAGTTAATGTCAAAGGACTGTAGTTGGTTTAAGGCTCAACCAATGGGGGTTAAAACAAATTAAACAGTGTAATGAGAGACATGACCGAAGCTGCCAACATCCCAACGAAAACAAACCACTGTGGGCGAAAAACATTGATCCAAAAACTTCAGAACAGCGACATACCTCCTAACCAAATAATACAGATATCCGGACATAAAAACCTTCAATCTGTAAACAATTACTGTTCTCTCAACGAAAGACAAATGAAAAATATATCACATATTTTGTCAACACCAGCCTCAAATTCAATCTTCCCGATAGCACAAGCTGAACGAAATTTGCCGTTTCAAAGCCAACCGTGTTTCTCTCAATCCTTGAGTTCAACTTCATCGACTTCAACTGCCGTAGATGTTAACAAAAACAGTCTACAAGCGATGTTTCACGCAAACTACATTGCTGGAGGTGATTTTGATATCAATGTGGTTCCGAGTACAGTAGAAGAAAGTTCTGTCAGTGTGCTCGAATCTCAACGCAAGAAACGACGGTACATTATTGAAAGTAGTGATAGCAGCCAAGAATAATTTGACTTTTGACAAAACTTTTTTCTTTTTCTTTAACTTTATTGATGATTTTTCAATAATTTACGTATATATCATGTTGATATTTTAATAGCATTATGCTAATATTTTATTACAAATGTGTGATTATAGATTACAGCTTTTGCTATTTTAATAAAGAATTTTTGAAGGTTTGGATCTATATCTTGAAATACTAAGATCTAATAAGTCTAAGCTAAATCATAACAACCTAATAAATAACTATGAATCTATATAATTGTAATGCTCAATGTTCAATGTCAAATGCCTATAGTGATAAGTCTCATAGCAGTGATTTGAAAGTACGTGCAATGTTCAGTGTAGATGAAATGACAGCTTTCTGCATCTTTATAAGTGTGTCACTTCCTCTTTTTCTTCCCAAGAGCTTGCTTATGCACTCTTCCATAAGTCGGTTGAATATCCTCCTAAAACGTCTATTATGTTGTTGTACTGTTCGATCTTCTATCCTTTAAGCTGTTGCTACATTCCCACCTAAGTGCTGTGTACTTGCGCGTCTTCTCGTCGTCTTTCTTGCTCATTTCCAGAGTTGTTACCTTCTTGTCTTTGTGATTGATAATGCGTACGTCTATTCTGTTAGCTCTTACTTCTGTGTTTTCTGCGTAGACAGGAACATCCCAAAAAGCTTGACAATCCTCATTTTCGTACAGAGGCTTGGGGACTACGGGCGATTACCAAGGTGGTACACTATTGTGACATGGTCACTTTGCATTAATCTTTAGTAATTTTGGAATGTCGATTTCAAGTAGTTTTATGGGAACTGCTCGTTTGTGGTGATCCTAAGTATTTACTATAAAGGATTTAATATATATTTTTGTTAGGGAACACATTCGAACGTCAGTTTAATTTAATCGTTCTACGGAAAGAGACACGAGCAATGCTATGTGATCTATTTCCTGAACTAATCGTTCGTTCAAACCAATATTTATCTCGCATTTAGATAGTTTCCTTTGTGGGACTACCTCGTAAACAGTTCTACTATTGCCAATGTTTAGATTACGCTTAACTATTGGAATGCGCTGATTTCCGCGGCGTGGATGTTTAGCTTGTTTTGCAATTCTACGTGACATGAGGTCATATCCTAATTCGATTAGCCACTATTCACGTACTCATAGATATAGCCCCTATATAGTACGACAGCTTTGGGACAACTAGAGCAGCGAAAGAGCAGAAGTTCTAGCGAGAGCTAGTACCGAACGCAAGTTCAAGCAACTAAAGCTGGATGGGGTTAGATAAAAAAAAAAAAAAAAAAAAAAAAAAA